AATAGAATATTGACTCGACTATTAAATTGATACTGAGACTAGCCTATAGATAAGAATATAGACTAGACCTTATACTATATTATAGACTAGACTATAGAATACACTATACTATTCCAGCTCCGTTGTAGACTAGACTAGACTGTAGACTAGACTATAGACTAGACTATAGACTAGACCATAGACTAGACAATATACTAGACTATAGAAAGTTTTACTTCAGTTCTGGTTCTGCTCTAGTTCTGTTCTAGTTCTGTTCTAGTTCTGTTCTAGTTCTGTTCTAGTTATGTTCTAGTTCTGTTCTAGTTCTGTTCTAGTTCTGTTCTAGTTCTGTTCTAGTTCTGTTTTAGTTCTGTTCTAGTTCTGCTCTAGTTCTGTTCTAGTTCTGTTCTAGTTCTGTTCTAGTTCTGTTCTAGTTCTGTTCTAGTTCTGTTCTGTTCTGTTCTAGTTCTGTTCTAGTTCTGTTCTAGTTCTGTTCTAGTTCTGTTCTAGTTCTGTTCTAGTTCTGTTCTAGTTCTGTTCTAGTTCTGTTCTAGTTCTGTTCTAGTTCTGTTCTAGTTCTGTTCTAGTTCTGTTCTAGTTCTGTTCTAGTTCTGTTCTAGTTCTGTTCTAGTTCTGTTCTAGTTCTGTTCTAGTTCTGTTCTAGTTCTGTTCTAGTTCTTTTCTAGTTCTGTTCTAGTTCTGTTCTAGTTCTGTTCTAGTTCTGTTCTAGTTCTGTTCTAGTTCTGTTCTAGTTCTGTTCTAGTTCTGTTCTAGTTCTGTTCTAGTTCTGTTCTAGTTCTGTTCTAGTTCTGTTTTAGTTCTGTTTCTAGTTCTGTTCTAGTTCTGTTCTAGTTCTGTTCTAGTTCTGTTCTAGTTCTGTTCTAGTTTGTTCTAGTTTGGTTCTAGTTTTGTTCTAGTTCTGTTCTAGTTCTGTTCTAGTTCTGTTCTAGTTCTGTTCTAGTTCTGTTCTGTTCTAGTTCTGTTCTAGTACTGTTCTAGTACTGTTCTAGTTCTGTTCTAGTTCTGATCTAGTTCTGTTCTAGTTCTGTTCTAGTTCTGTTCTAGTTCTGTTCTAGTTCTGTTCTAGTTCTGTTCTAGTTCTGTTCTAGTTCTGTTCTAGTTCTGTTCTAGTTCTGTTCTAGTTCTGTTCTAGTTCTGTTCTAGTTCTGTTCTAGTTCTGTTCTAGTTCTGTTCTAGTTCTGTTCTAGTTCTGTTCTAGTTGTGTTCTAGTTGTGTTCTAGTTCTGTTCTAGTTCTGTTCTAGTTGTGTTCTAGTTGTGTTCTAGTTCTGTTCTAGTTGTGTTCTAGTTGTGTTCTAGTTCTGTTCTAGTTCTGTTCTAGTTCTGTTCTAGTTCTGTTCTAGTTCTGTTCTAGTTCTGTTCTAGTTCTGTTCTAGTTCTGTTCTAGTTCTGTTCTAGTTCTGTTCTAGTTCTGTTCTAGTTCTGTTCTAGTTCTGTTCTAGTTCTAGTTCTGTTCTAGTTCTGTTCTAGTTCGTTCTAGTTCAGTTCTAGTTCTGTTCTAGTTATGTTCTAGTTTTGTTCTAGTTTTGTTCTAGTTCTGATCTAGTTCTGTTCTAGTTCTGTTCTAGTTCTGTTCTAGTTCTGTTCTAGTTCTGTTCTAGTTCTGTTCTAGTTCTGTTCTAGTTCTGTTCTAGTTCTGTTCTAGTTCTGTTCTAGTTCTGTTCTAGTTCTGTTCTAGTTCTGTTCTAGTTCTGTTCTAGTTCTGGTCTAGTTCTGGTCTAGTTCTGTTCTAGTTCTGTTCTAGTTCTGTTCTAGTTCTGGTCTAGTTCTGTTCTAGTTCTGTTCTAGTTCTGTTCTAGTTCTGTTCCAGTTCTGTTCTAGTTCTGTTCTAGTTCTGTTCTAGTTCTGTTCTTGATCTGTTCTAGTTCTGTTCTAGTTCTGTTCCAGTTCTGTTCTAGTTCTGTTCCAGTTCTGTTCTAGTTCTGTTCTAGTTCTGTTCCAGTTCTGTTCTAGTTCTGATCTAGTTCTGTTCTAGTTCTGTTCTAGTTCTGTTCTAGTTCTGTTCTAGTTCTGTTCTAGTTCTGTTCTAGTTCTGTTCTAGTTCTGTTCTAGTTCTGTTCTAGTTCTGTTCTAGTTCTGTTCTAGTTCTGTTCTAGTTCTGTTCTCGTTTCTGTTCTAGTTCTGTTCTAGTTCTGTTCTAGTTCTGTTCTAGTTCTGTTCTAGTTCTGTTCTAGTTCTGGTCTAGTTCTGTTCTAGTTCTGTTCTAGTTCTGTTCTAGTTCTGGTCTAGTTCTGTTCTAGTTCTGTTCTAGTTCTGTTCTAGTTCTGTTCTAGTTCTGTTCTTGTTCTGTTCTAGTTCTGTTTTAGTTTTGTTCCAGTTCTGCTCTAATCAGTTCTGTTCTACTTCAATCCTAGTTTAGTTTTGGAGTTTTTCCCAAGAGCTTTTATTTTTTAAATTATGAACAATCAACACAATAGTTATTCAGGTATGCTTAGTAAAATAATAAAAAAATGATTGAAGTTGGAGGTGTTTTTAAGCTTTTCTATTTCTAAAAATATATTTTCTTTATTTTTATTTCGTGTTCGAAAAAAATACTTATTTTGGTAACCAGCGATTTCTTTTCCTCATAAATATATAAAAAGCTTAAAAATATTTATATTTAACAAATGCAAACAACAAAATGCATGTGACATGATTTCTAAAGAAATAAAATAGAAAAGTAAAATATAGGTTAACACAACACATACATAAGTAAATACTCCTAAACTATAGTACTGTATTTCATACTTATAAAACGTGCTGTGAAAAATTCAATAGAATATGTACTTACTTAAATTTCACAAGAATTTTTTTTGACAAATATAAAATTATTTAACAAATAAGTTGTTTTAACAAATTCATTACAATAATTTAAATGTGTAAAAATCACCAGCTGGCTTAAATTACAAAATATCCATTTATAAAGTTAAGCTGATGTAAATGTCAAAAAATATTTGCATTACACGTACGTTTTTTTTTTTTTTCTTTACCTGAATTTTAAATATTGATCACTATTTTATGTTATTAATTTCATCAAATAAAATAGAATAAAATGATACATGTTGGTCTTTTCTACTATATACCTCCAAAAAAAAGTTCATTTTTTTTTGCCCATGAAAACTGCACATTTTAAATATTTATTGTGTGAAAATGCCAGATGATCTGTTTAAAATATGTCAAAATAATAAAGAGTCAAATGAATGAAAACTACTGCATATGCAGGTAGTTTTTGTTAAAACTTTACAAATCGCATAATTGTTCTCAAAAACAAAATAAAACAAATGTTTTAAAACTATTGAATAACAAACAGTATAGATTACAACATATTTTAAAAATGGAAGTTTAATGGTAGTGAAATTCTGTTCGACATTATATTGAAATTTCCCAAATTTTTTTTATATCATTCTACTATGGCAACAAATTTGATGTAATGGGCACTATGGTAGTAAATTGTGAATTTCTCTTTAAAATATTTTATATTTTTCTATACAAAAAGAACAACTTCTTTGCCAAACAATATTCATTGTCACTTATTTTAGTAATTTAATATTCATAAATTTTGTTTTTGCTCTCACAAATGTGTCATAAAACTGTGAAACAATGACAATATCTGCACTCAAAAATATATTCATAAATAAATTTTATTTTTCTATCTTTTAAATAAATTTGAGTTCATTTCCGCATCAGTCCTGGTTATACTCTTCGCCATCGTGAGAAGGTTATAATAAGTTTGTCATTCCGTTTGTAATTTCTATAATATAATTCTCCGACCATAGCGGAGTCGATGAAGTTATGTCTGCCTGTCTTTCTGTCTGTCTGCCTGCCTTTCTGTCTGTCTGTCCGTCTGTATGTATGTTGAAATCAATTTTCTGAAATTCCCACATACCTTAGGGATCCAAATCTTCAACACTTCTATCAAACATGTTTGCGACAACTCTCCTATTTAAAATCAGCAAAATTCATTCATAAATAACGGAGATATGAGTAAAAATCCGAGACAGCTTCCTAAATTTCTAGTTCTGTTCTAGTTCTGTTCTAGTTATGTTCCAGTTATGTTCTAGTTCTGTTCTAGTTCTGTTCAGTCTTTCTAGTTCTGTTCTAGTTCTGTTCTAGTTCTGTTCTAGTTCTGTTCTAGTTCTGTTCTAGTTCTATTCTAGTTCTGTTCTAGTTCTGTTCTAGTTCTGTTCTAGTTCTGTTCTAGTTCTAGTTTCTGTTCTAGTTCTGTTCTAGTTTCTGTTCTAGTTCTGTTTCTAGTTCTAGTTCTGTTGTTCTAGTTCTGTTCTAGTTCTGTTCTAGTTTCTGTTCTAGTTCTATTCTGTTCTATTCTAGTTCTGTTATAGTTTCTGTTCTAGTTCTGTTCTAGTTTGTTCTAGTTCTGTAGTCTGTTCTAGTTCTGTTCATAGTTCTGTTTCTAGTTCTGTTCTAGTTCTGTTCTAGTTCTGTTCTAGTTCTGTTCTAGTTCTGTTCTAGTTCTGTTCTAGTTCGTCTAGTTCTGTTCTAGTTCTGTTCTAGTTCTGTTCTAGTTCTGTTCTAGTTCTGTTCTAGTGTTCTAGTGCTGTTCTAGTCTTGTTCTAGTTCTGTTCTAGTTCTGTTCTAGTTCTGTTCTAGTTCTGTTCTAGTTCTGTTTAGTTCTGTTCTAGTTCTGTTCTAGTTCTGTTTCTAGTTCTGTTCTAGTTCTGTTCTAGTTCTGTTCTAGTTTCTAGTTCTGTTCTAGTTCAGTTCTAGTTCTGTTCTAAGTTCTGTTCTAGTTCTGTTCTAGTTCTGTTCTAGTTCTGCTCTAGTTCTGTTCTAGTTCTGTTCTAGTTCAGTTCTAGTTCAGCTCTAGTTCTGTTCTATTTCTGTTCTAGTTCTGAGTTAGTTGATATTTTGTATACATTTCCATGGTCTTTAAGTAGCTTTTCTTTATCAATAGAAATAACAAGAAATTATTTCTCACTTAAGCATTCATTTCGCCATTCATTAAAAATGTATTTAGAAAATAATTAATACGGTACAAGTTTTAAGTAGTAAAAACAACACTTACCACCAACTCTCTGTCGGATATAATTGTGCCAAATGTTATCGACATTACTGGACCCATTAGTGGGGAGACCAACATGGCGGCGGTAATATTTGGTGCATTATTTTCCACTAAACCCAATGCGGCTAAAGAGCTACAAAATGTGAAACCAAACACACACACAGACACTTAGAAATAATTAAAAATTTAGTATACGTATAGTAGAACAAGAACAGAAAAAAGTAAAACATTTAAATGCAGAGATGTAATCGTTAAGTGTTTTGAAAAGAACATTTTAAGCACAGACATTTTCTATAGCAGCAGAAATAAGTAGTCTGTTAACCATCCAACCAACCGACCGACCAACAAATAATTAAAAATGCAACATTTAATACGATCAACATGAAAATCATCTGTCTATAAACCACAGACATCAGTACACAGGAACAACAACAATATCTAAACATAAATACTAACAAAACAAACACACTTACAATTTAAAATACCACCACCACCACATTACCAACATTCACTATTATAAACATGTCTAAACATGCATGTGGCAAGTGGTATGTTCGATTGTAAATAGTTTGCTATAACAAAAATTTAATTTCATAACATGATGGCTCATGGTTTCCTTTCATTACGCTAAAACAAATTCTGAAGAGTTAGAAAAGCAGGTAAAACAAGTACATGTTGTTAGTAAGCAGTGCAATGACTTTGGGGAAACTACTTACTCGGCTGTCACTATTAGTAATAAATAATCGAAGGATAATGAACCACCAGAACGTACACCATCAACAACTTGTTTGACAGTGAGTTTCGATTTAATCGATTCCACAAAATTATTCCATTTGGAGAGTTCTTCGCCATCCATAGGGTCGCTGGAAAAAGAAAAAAACAAAATACAGATAAAATCGAAAAGAATAAGTAAATAAATTAAGGGAAGAAAATGATGCTTCTATTGTTAATTGTACAACTGAACTAGAACATAACTAGAATTGAATTGGAACTGAACTAGAAATGAACTAGAACAGAACTAGAGCAGAACTAGAACTGAACAAGAAGGGAAATAGAAGAGATTTAGAATTATATTAATTGTTGAACTGAACGAGAACTGAACAAGAACATAACTACAATTGAATTGGAAATGAACAAGAACAGAACTAGAAAAGAACTAGAACAGAACTAGTACAGAACTAGAACAGAACTAGAACAGAACTAGAAAAGAACTAGAACAGAAACTAGAACAGAACTAGAACAGAACTAGAACAGAACTAGAACAGAACTAGAACAGAACTAGAACAGAACTAGAACAGAACTAGAACAGAACTAGAACAGAACTAGAACAGAACTAGAACAGAACTAGAACAGAACTAGAACAGAACTAGAACAGAACTAGAACAGAACTAGAACAGAACTAGAACAGAACTAGAACAGAACTAGAACAGAACTAGAACAGAACTAGAACAGAACTAGAACAGAACTAGAACAGAACTAGAACAGAACTAGAACAGAACTAGAACAGAACTAGAACTAGAACTAGAACTAGAACAGAACTAGAACAGAACTAGAACAGAACTAGAACAGAACTAGAACAGAACTAGAACAGAACTAGACAGAACTAGAACAGAACTAGAACAGAACTAGAACAGAACTAGAACAGAACTAGAACAGAACTAGAACAGAACTAGAACAGAACTAGAACAGACTAGAACAGAACTAGAACAGAACTAGAACAGAACTAGAACAGAACTAGAACAGAACTAGAACAGAACAGAACAGAACTAGAACAGAACATAGAGCAGAACTAGCACAGAACTAGAACAGAACTAGAACAGAACTAGAACTGAACTAAACTGAAACTAGAACGAACTAGAACAGAACTAGAACAGAACTAGAACAGAACTAGAACACGAACTAGAACAGAACTAGAACAGAACTAGAACAGAACTAGAACAGAATAGAACAGAACTAGAACAGACTCAGAACTAGAACAGAACTAGAACAGAACTAGAACAGAACTAGAACAGAACTAGAACAGAACTAGAACAGAACTAGAACAGAACTAGAACAGAACTAGAACAGAACTAGAACTGAACAAGAAGGGAAATAGAAGAGATTTAGAATTATATTAATTGTTGAACTAAACTAGAACTGAACAAGAACATATCTACAATTGAATTGGAAATGAACAAGAACAGAACTAGAAAAGAACTAGAACAGAACTAGTACAGAACTAGAACAGAACTAGAACAGAACTAGGACAGAACTAGAACAGAACTAGTACAGAACTAGAACAGAACTAGAACAGAACTAGGACAGAACTAGAACAGAACTAGTACAGAACTAACAGAACTAGAACAGAACTAGGACAGAACTAGAACAGAACTAGAACAGAACTAGGACAGAACTAGAACAGAACTAGAACAGAACTAGAACAGAACTAGAACAGAACTAGAACAGAACTAGAACAGAACTAGAACAGAACTAGAACAGAACTAGAACAGAACAGAACTAGAACAGAACTAGAACAGAACTAGAACAGAACTAGAACAGAACTAGAACAGAACTAGAACAGAACTAGAACAGAACTAGAACAGAACTAGAACAGAACTAGAACAGAACTAGAACAGAACTAGAACAGAACTAGAACAGAACTAGAACAGAACTAGAACAGAACTAGAACAGAACTAGAACAGAACTAGAACAGAACTAGAACAGAACTAGAACAGAACTAGAACGGAGCAGAACTAGAACTTGTCCTTTCTAAGGTCTCTTCCTCAAAATTCCTTGTTCAGTTCTTAATCATATCTTTGTTCAAAAGAACGCATAAGTTTATTCCCCCAAAAATTCAATACCATTTTCCAACACACACAATCATTGCCTTTTTCCTTACTCCCGCTATTTTTTTAATACATTTCAATTGGAAAATTTCAATGGCAATTTTCTAAAGTGGCTGTTTCTATTTGAAGTCTTTCTTATTTTCGTTGCTGGTTGTTATGCAAATTTTCCTATTTCTAACAACCCAAAACATAAAATTCACAAAAGCTGCTTCTTTATTTATTTTTTCTTCTTATTGTGTGCAACACATCCCGCCTTAATAACACATTGTTGCTTTAACACTTTATTTAACACAATAAAAGTAAATGTCAAATGTCGCCTTCAACAATAACAGCAACAGCAGCAACATCATCAACAACTAAAACAGCTACCAGGAACAATGACAACAAATAGGGGAAAAAACAACTTATTGCCCTTATTTTCAAATACAGATCAATGGTTGCAAGGACATCAAGGTTTCCTAGAGTACAGTGGCTGTTGGTAAACACAATGCCAAATGCTAGAGACTTGTCTTGTCTTTGGTTCGCTTACACTATCACTGTTCTTTCTGACGCCTGTATTTGTATATTTTTTTCGTCTTTTACATTTTAAATCCTTTGTTGCTCGAAATATAAGAAAAATATTACGAAATGTATTTACATTTTACAATTTCAAAACAACTGCCACGCCTTTTAGCCACAACTACTTTTATACAGAAAAAATATATATTTTATACTTTTCATTTAATGTTGTAATGCGGTTGTATTTTATTTTATTACATTTGTAGACAAGTGGAAAAAAATCGGAAAAATTCCTTTTACATTTTGTTTTTCTGTTATCAGTTCTTAAACAATTTTAATATGGTATTTAGTATATAGAGTTTATTTTTTCTATTTTTTTCCTACTTTTAGTATTTCGGTTTTTGTGGTTGTGTTTATTTTTACATCTTGTGTTAAGGAGCTCATTGGTTTTGATGTGAGGTTTTTTGTGTTACATGTAATGGAAATCGTGGAATGTTTTGTTGCTTCGTTACTTTATATTTTATTATTTTTGCAAAATTAATTTATTTTATAGTAAGAGTTTTATGTGGTTTTTCAATTTTCCCTTACCTGTAATCCTCTGCAATGGTTAAGGCATCATAGCTTACGCTGCAGGGTAAAACACTGCAAAAGTATGGAATTAAGGTTTTAAGGAAGGAGAAGTAGAGAAAAAATAAGAAATTATTAAATTAATGTTGTATGTGTTGAGAATTTAAATTAATGTAAATACTTTTGATAAGGTTTATATTTAGTGGTAAATTTAAATCCAAGTTAATTTCCCTATACCTTTCAATCATCTTAGTGTTGCTAGCAGACCTATTCATACCACTAATTTAGCTTAGTTTAGTTTTAGCTCACTTCTAGTTCAGTTCTATAGTTCTTTTCTAATTCTGTTCTAGTTTTGTTCTAGTTCTGTTCTAGTTCTGTTCTAGTTCTGTTCTAGTTCTGTTCTAGTTCTGTTCTAGTTCTGTTCTAGTTCTGTTCTAGTTCAATTCTAGTTCTGTTCTAGTTCTGTTCTAGTTCTGTTCTAGTTCTGTTCTAGTTCTGTTCTAGTTCTGTTCTAGTTCTGTTCTAGTTCTGTTCTAGTTCTTTTCTAGTTCTGTTCTAGTTCTGTTCTAGTTCTGTTCTAGTTCTATTCTAGTTCTGTTCTAGTTCTGTTCTAGTTCTGTACTAGTTCTGTCCTAGTTCTGTTCTAGTTCTGTTCTAGTTCTGTTCTAGTTCTGTTCTAGTTCTGTTCTAGTTCTGTTCTAGTTCTGTTCTAGTTCTGTTCTAGTTCTGTTCTAGTTCTAGTTCTAGTTCTGTTCTAGTTCTAGTTCTGTTCTAGTTCTGTTCTAGTTCTGTTCTAGTTCTGTTCTAGTTCTGTTCTAGTTCTGTTCTAGTTCTGTTCTAGTTCTGTTCTAGTTCTGTTCTAGTTATGTTCTAGTTCTGTTCTAGTTCTGTTCTAGTTCTGTTCTAGTTCTGTTCTAGTTCTGTTCTAGTTCTGTTCTAGTTCTGTTCTAGTTCTGTTCTAGTTCTGTTCTAGTTCTGTTCTAGTTCTGTTCTAGTTCTGTTCTAGTTCTGTTCTAGTTCTGTTCTAGTTCTGTTCTAGTTCTGCTCTAGTTCTGTTCTAGTTCTGTTCTAGTTCTGTTCTAGTTCTGTTCTAGTTCTGTTCTAGTTCTGTCTAGTTCTGTTTCTAGTTCTGTTCTAGTTCTGTTCTAGTTCTGTTCTAGTTCTGTTCTAGTTCTGTTCTAGTTTCTGTTCTAGTTCTGTTCTAGTTCTGTTCTAGTTCTGTTCTAGTTCTGTTCTAGTTCTGTTCTAGTTCTGTTCTAGTTCTGTTCTAGTTCTGTTCTAGTTCTGTCTAGTTCTGTTCTAGTTCTGTTCTAGTTCTGTTCTAGTTCTGTTCTAGTCTGTTCTAGTTCTGTTCTAGTTCTGTTCTAGTTACTGTTTCTAGTTCTGTTCTAGTTCTGTTCTAGTTCTGTTCTAGTTCTGTTCTAGTTCTGTTCTAGTTTCTGTTCTAGTTCTGTTCTAGTTCTGTTCTAGTTCTGTTCTAGTTCTGTTCTAGTTCTGTTCTAGTTCTGTTCTAGTTTCTGTTCTAGTTCTGTTCTAGTTCTGTCTAGTTCTGTTCTAGTTCTGTTCTAGTTCTGTTCTAGTTCTGTTCTAGTTCTGTTTCTAGTTCTGTTCTAGTTCTGTTCTAGTTCTGTTCTAGTTCTTTCTAGTCTGTTCTAGTTCTGTTCTAGTTTGTCTAGTTCTGTTCTAGTTCTGTCTAGTTCTGTTCTAGTTCTGTTTCTAGTTCTGTTCTAGTTCTGTTCTAGTTCTGTTCTAGTTCTGTTCTAGTTCTGTTCTAGTTCTGTTCTAGTTCTGTTCTAGTTCTGTTCTAGTTCTGTTCTAGTTCTGTTCTAGTTCTGTTCTAGTTCTGTTCTAGTTCTGTTCTAGTTCTGTTCTAGTTCTGTTCTAGTTCTGTTCTAGTTCTGTTCCAGTTCTGTTCTAGTTCTGTTCTAGTTCTGTTCTAGTTCTGTTCTGTTCTGTTCTAGTTCTGTTCTAGTTCTGTTCTGTTCTGTTCTAGTTCTGTTCTAGTTCTGTTCTAGTTTGTTCTGTTCTAGTTCTGTTCTAGTTCTGTTCTAGTTCTATTCTAGTTCTGTTCTAGTTCTGTTCTAGTTCTGTTCTAGTTCTGTTCTAGTTCTGTTCTAGTTCTGTTCTAGTTCTGTTCTAGTTCTGTTCTAGTTCTGTTCTAGTTCTGTTCTAGTTCTGTTCTAGTTCTGTTCTAGTTCTGTTCTAGTTCTGTTCTAGTCTGTTCTAGTTCTGTTCAGTTCTGTTCTAGTTCTGTTCTAGTTCTGTTCTAGTTCTGTTCTGTTCTGTTCTAGTTCTGTTCTAGTTCTGTTCTGTTCTGTTCTAGTTCTGTTCTAGTTCTGTTCTAGTTCTGTTCTGTTCTAGTTCTGTTCTAGTTCTGTTCTAGTTCTGTTCTAGTTCTATTCTAGTTCTGTTCTAGTTCTGTTCTAGTTCTGTTCTAGTTCTGTTCTAGTTCTGTTCTAGTTCTGTTCTAGTTCTGTTCTAGTTCTGTTCTAGTTCTGTTCTAGTTCTGTTCTAGTTCTTTCTAGTTCTGTTCTAGTTCTGTTCTAGTTCTGTTCTAGTTCTGTTCTAGTTCTGTTCTAGTTCTGTTCTAGTTCTGTTCTAGTTTTGTTCTAGTTCTGTTCTAGTTCTGTTCTAGTTCTGTTCTAGTTCTGTTCTAGTTCTGTTCTAGTTCTGTTCTAGTTCTGTTCTAGTTCTGTTCTAGTTCTGTTCTAGTTCTGTTCTAGTTCTGTTCTAGTTCTGTTCTAGTTCTGTTCTAGTTCTGTTCTAGTTCTGTTCTAGCTCTGTTCTAGTTCTGTTCTAGTTCTGTTCTAGTTCTGTTCTAGTTTTGTTCTAGTTCTGTTCTAGTTCTGTTCTAGTTCTGTTCTAGTCTGTTCTAGTTCTGTTCTAGTTCTGTTCTAGTTCTGTTCTAGTTCTGTTCTGTTCTGTTCTAGTTCTGTTCTAGTCTGTTCTAGTTCTATTCTAGTTCTTCTGTTCTAGTTCTGTTCTAGTTCTGTTCTAGTTCTGTTCTAGTTCTGTTCTAGTTCTGTTCTAGTTCTGTTCTAGTTCTGTTCTAGTTCTGTTCTAGTTCTGTTCTGTTCTAGTTCTGTTCTAGTTCTGTTCTGTTCTGTTCTGTTCTAGTTCTGTTCTAGTTCTGTTCTAGTTCTGTTCTAGTTCTGTTCTAGTTCTGTTCTGTTCTAGTTCTGTTCTAGTTCTGTTCTAGTTCTATTCTAGTTCTGTTCTAGTTCTTTTCTAGTTCTGTTCTAGTTCTGTTCTAGTTCTGTTCTAGTTCTGTTCTAGTTCTGTTCTAGTTCTGTTCTAGTTCTGTTCTAGTTCTTTTCTAGTTCTGTTCTAGTTCTGTTCTAGTTCTGTTCTAGTTTCATTCTAGTTCTGTTCTAGTTCTGTTCTAGTTCTGTACTAGTTCGTCCTAGTTCTGTTTCTAGTTCTGTTCTAGTTCTGTTCTAGTTCTGTTCTAGTTCTGTTCTAGTTCTGTTCTATTTCTGTTCTAGTTCTGTTCTAGTTCTGTTTAGTTCTGTTCTAGTTCTGTTCTAGTTCTGTTCTAGTTCTGTTCAGTTCTGTTCTAGTTCTGTTCTAGTTCTGTTCTAGTTCTGTTCTAGTTCTGTTCTAGTTCTGTTCTAGTTCTGTTCTAGTTCTGTTCTAGTTCTGTTCTAGTGTGTTCTAGTTCTGTTCTATTTCTGTTCTAGTTCTGTTCTAGTTCTGTCTAGCTCTGTTCTAGTTCTGTTCTAGTTCTGTTCTAGTTCTGTTCTAGTTTTGTTCTAGTTCTGTTCTAGTTCTGTTCTAGTTCTGTTCTAGTTCTGTTCTAGTTCTGTTCTAGATTTGTTTTAGTTCTGTTTTAGTTCTGTTCTAGTTCTGGTCTAACAACTTGCTCAAAAACTGCATTGAATTCCGCTAGCCATTGCAATTGTAACCATCATGGAATTATTTCATCTTTAATAAACTGAACTAAAACCATTTTGTTTTATCATACCTTAGTGCCTTTTAAAAATTGCTAAAATTTTGTTATTTATAATGTTTCCTCTCATCGAAAACTTTAACCTTTATGCCATCAACACTTCGGCATCATAAACAAAGAGTCCTTTAACACATGGCACAATTTTACAAAATGATAAGAATGGCCACTCAAGAGACAACCCTATTAAAACTAAATTTTTTTTTGGGTAAAAGTAAAAGAGCTAAAAAAAGAAAACAAGCAACTAAATAAAATGAATGACTTGTGCTCGTGTCTTTTAACCTGTTGTGGTACTTTTCTTAAAAAAAGACGAAAGGAGTGGACAAAAGTTGTATATGAAATTTTGTGAAAAAAAAATTACACTAGAACGTGGTTAAGTACATTACTTGGCAAGAATAAAGTGCAAACAAAAAATTGGTTAAAGAAAAACTTGTGGTATGAAGAAAAAAAATTAAAACTTACCTGACACTCGAATTCAATTTAGTGCCAATACCCAATTCTGTTAAACAGTGTAAAGTCGTTTCGCAAGGTTCACCTGATTGCAGTGGAAAGACAACATGATGAAAATATCCTTTCTTACTGGTAGTCCAGGTTACATGTTCAATTTCAAGTTTTACCAAAAGTTCTTCCAAAACCTGTATAAAAAAAAGAAATGAAAAAATAATTTGTTGTCATCAATAAAATGAAAATGTATTTCAATGGAAAAATTAATGGTTGCTTTAACTATGGAAGTGGAATTAAGATTATTTAAAAGCTTTAAAAAAGAAATTAAATTGTAATTGCTGTTAGAGCAGCTTTAAACAAAAAGATGATTAATTTTTGATATTGTTTGTTAAAGGAATTTTTTTGAGGACATCTTTTATATGCTTTGTTGTAGCAGAAGACTTTATAATGTCACGTCTACTATGAAATTCCTGCTTTATAAAGTCACTTTCATTTTTTTCCATTTCCTAAAAGAGCAATTTACTCGTACAACACTTAAGTATTTTTTAAAGGAATTTATGTTGTGTAACACAAATACCAACAAGATGATTTTGCACAAACCTTTTCCAAGGGCACTATGGCATTACCCTTTAAGTCCATCATAGTGTTAACATTATTTCCTGTTGCTGCTGGTCGATTATGTGCCCCACCCCTTAGACCAGCTGCACCACCTCGCCCGCCACCACCACGTGCTGCACCTGCAGGCACTCCAACACCTACTGCACGTCGATATTTAGGTGCATGCTTGTCACGTAATTCAACTTCAAGTCTTAGTATGGCGTTGTTATTTTCCGGAAGATTAATGTTTAGATTATTATTACCACCACCACCACCTACACCTGCTGGAACTCCCGGTATTACTGCTGCAGCAGCTGGTGTGGCAGTAGTAGCTATCTTATGTACCGGTATAGCTGGTGCCAGTTCTTGATTAGTACCTGTGTGTGTGAAACAGAAGAAACAAACAATATCATGAAGCCATAATATTTACTCTACCGACCATAAACTAACTGTTTAAAGGTTTGATTGTCTTGACACTTGTACAGCTATTTGTGTGCTTTCACAGTCATGTGTAAATAATGCGATTAATATCGATTGATTTGTGTACAAATTTCTTAGCCACAACAACGACAACATACCACAAATGTGAATAAATCTTGATGCTATTGATACAAGATTTAAAGCTAAAAATCATAATTGATTTGTCTAATAAAGTGTTAGTGAAGCTGATGAAAATGAATTCTTTAGCAAATCTCTAATAAACATCTTATTGCCACAAGCAACTTTTACCTCTCAACTAGTAACTTTGGTGATTAATTCTTTTGCCTAAAAACACACTTAACTAAATACAAAAATAACTAATCAGCATTAATAATCCTATTAGAAGTTTCCTAGTTATCTGTTATATTATTAATAGACGTGTTCATAAACATAATATATAATCTCTTAATACTTCCCATAATTTATTTTTTTTGCAATAATTTCATTTCCGGTCTTTATTGGCAACTGCTTATTTAATCATATGATTAAATCTGTCAAAGAAATCATGTTAATCAGTGACATGTTCGTACGCATAATATTTGTGTGTTTATCAATTATGAATAACTAAAATTATGGTAAATAGAAAAAGAATATTTATAAAGAAATAGGGCCAGAAATACGACTACTTATAAAACTACTAATAACATTACGAACAGGTTTAATAATGTTAATAGTTCAGTTCCAGTTTAGTTCTAGTTCAGTTCTAGTTCAGTTCTAGTTCAGTTCTAGTTCAGTTCTAGTTCAGTTCTAGTTCAGTTCTAGTTCAGTTCTAGTTCAGTTCTAGTTCAGTTCTAGTTCAGTTCTAGTTCAGTTCTAGTTCAGTTCTAGTTCAGTTCTAGTTCAGTTCTAGTTCTGTTCTAGTTCTGTTCTAGTTCAGTTCCAGTTCAGTTCTAGTTCAGTTCTAGTTCAGTCCTAGTTCAGTTCTAGTTCAGTTGTAGTTCAGTTCTAGTTCAGTTCTAGTTCAGTTCTAGTTCAGTTCTAGTTCAGTTCTAGTTCAGTTCTAGTTCAGTTCTAGTTCAGTTCTAGTTCAGTTCTAGTTCAGTTCTAGTTCAGTTCTAGTTCAGTTCTAGTTCTGTTCTAGTTCTGTTCTAGTTCTGTTCCAGTTCTGTTCCAGTTCTGTTCTAGTTCTGTTCTAGTTCTGTTCTAGTTCTGTTCTAGTTCTATTCTAGCTCTGTTCTAGTTCTGTTTCTAGTTCTGTTCTAGTTCTGTTCTAGTTCTGTTCTAGTTCTGTTCTAGTTCTGTTCTAGTTCTGTTCTAGTTCTGTTCTAGTTCTGTTCTAGTTCTAGTTCTGTCTAGTTCTGTTCTAGTTCTGTTCTAGTTCTGTTCTAGTTCTGTTCTAGTTCTGTTCTAGTTCTGTTCTAGTTCTGTTCTAGTTCTGTTCTAGTTCTGTTCTAGTTCTGTTCTAGTTCTGTTCTAGTTCTGTTCTGTTCTAGTTCTGTTCTAGTTCTGTTCTGTTCTAGTTCTGCTCTTGTTCTGTTCTAGTTCTGTTCTAGTTCTGTTCTAGTTCTGTTCTAGTTCTGTTCTAGTTCTGTTCTAGTTCTGTTCTAGTTCTGTTCTAGTTCTGTTCTAGTTCTGTTCTAGTTCTGTTCTAGTTCTGTCTAGTTCTGTTCTAGTTCTGTTCTAGTTCTGTTCTAGTTCTGTTCTAGTTCTGTTCTAGTTCTGTTCTAGTTTCTGTTCTAGTTCTGTTCTAGTTCTGTTCCAGTTCTGTTCTAGTTCTGTTCTAGTTCTGTTCTAGTTCTATTCTAGTTCAGTTCTGTTCTAGTTCTGTTCTAGTTCTATTCTAGTTCTGTTCTAGTTCTGTTCTTGTTCTGTTCTTGTTCTGTTCTAGTTCTGTTCTAGTTCTAGTTCTGTTCTAGTTCTGTTCTAGTTATGTTCTAGTTCTGTTCTAGTTCTGTTCTAGTTCTGTTCTAGTTCTGTTCTAGTTCTGTTCTAGTTCTGTTCTAGTTCTGTTCTAGTTCTGTTCTAGTTCTGTTCTAGTTCTGTTCTAGTTCTGTTCTAGTTTCTGTTCTAGTTCTGTTCTAATTCTGTTCTAGTTCTGTTCTAGTTCTGTTCTAGTTCTGTTCTAGTTCTGTTCTAGTTCTGTTCTAGTTCTGTTCTTGTTCTGTTCTAGTTCTGTTCTAGTTCTAGTTCTGTTCTAGTTCTGTTCTAGTTATGTTCTAGTTACGTTCTAGTTCTGTTCTAGTTCTGTTCTAGTTCTGTTCTAGTCTGTTCTAGTTCTGTTCTAGTTCTGTTCTAGTTCTGTTCTAGTTCTGTTCTAGTTCTGTTCTAGTTCTGTTCTAGTTCTTGTTCTAGTTCTGTTCTAAGTTCTGTTCTAGTTCTGTTCTAGTTCTGTTCTAGTTCTGTTCTAGTTCTGTTCTAGTTCTGTTCTAGTTCTGTTCTAGTTCTGTTCTAGTTCTGTTCTAGTTCTGTTCTAGTTCTGTTCTAGTTCCTGTTCTAGTTCTGTTCTAGTTCTGTTCTAGTTCTGTTTCTAGTTCTGTTCTAGTTCTGTTCTAGTTCTGTTCTAGTTCTGTTCTAGTTTCTGTTCTAGTTCTGTTCTAGTTCTGTTCTAGTTCTGTTCTAGTTCTGTTCTAGTTCTGTTCTAGTTCTGTTCTAGTTCTGTTCTAGTTCTGTTCTAGTTCTGTTCTAGTTCTGTTCTAGTTCTGTTCTAGTTCTGTTCTAGTTCTGTTCTAGTTCGGTTCTAGTTCTGTTCTAGTTCTGTTCTAGTTCTGTTCTAGTTCTGTTCTAGTTTCTATTCTGTTCTAGTTCTAGTCTAGTTCTAGTTCTGTTCTAGTTAGTTCTAGTTCTGTTCTAGTTCTGTTCTAGTTCAGTTCTAGTTCAGTTCTAGTTCAGTTCTAGTTCAGTTCTAGTTCAGTTCTAATTTAGAGAGTTAATCGTATTTTAGTCTACATTCCAAATTAAAAACATATTTAATCTTGAATTCTAATTTTTATAACATACTCTTAGGAGACTTAAAAGGTATTATTGAATCTTTTGTAGAAAACCACTTAAGATTTCGTTTTTAAGGCCAAAGAGTCATGTTCTTGTAACTTGGAAAATTTTCTATACACATAGTACCTTTTTTATAACTCATGAAAAATTAAGCATACTTTAAGGTGTTTCTTTATATTAAAATATATAGCATTCAAGATTTATGTATGTAGATTTTTTTTTCATTCATAAATGAAATAAAGTAAAATCTGCTAAATTACAAGTAACCTTGAAAATAACCTAAAATAATTTATGATGTGTACGTACTATTTTAAGGTTTATGTTGTTTCCTGTTAAGGACATCAAATCTGTTTTCCTAAGATAAATAACTTTTATGTTTAAGATTTTGTTGTTTTTCTCTAAATAACAAAAACAAAATATACATTAATCAAAATATGAGTTGTTTTAGTTAAGCGTTGAAGCATTCAAAATATGTTGTCATATAGGAGAAAAAAAAAAGAGAGAGCAAAGAATGTATCTGAAAATCTTAAATCAAACAACACCTTTTGTATAAACAAACATTAAAAATTACCCGACAACATCATATATCATAAATTTATCTTAAAAAGTGTAGCATACTTGTAGTAGCTTTCACATTTTTTTAATATTTCGAAATAAAATGAATTGTTTTCGTTTATGTTTAATATGATTTTTGACACAAACACTTGCTGGTACTTCATGCTACACACTCTTAAAGGGAAAAAGTTAAGGCAACCTTGTCAAATAATGATTTTGTAAAGATATTGATGGTTACATTATGTGGAGAGAACAGTGGTATTAGAAAAATGACAACAAATTTTATCTATGTTTTCGGGGTCAGTTTATTAAAGTGTCTGCTGTATTTTTATTTTAATACGAAGTTTCACTTGATGTCATCTAAACAATTATTGTTTTTGATAGTGTTGTTAAAACAATGATTGATATTGGTCATCTGGCAAGTTCAAAAATAATATACTTAAGTTTGTATACATAGTCAAGGTTATAAAATGATGTTAAAACGTTATAGATTATGGTCGAGTTTTTTATATGTGTATGTACATAATTTATTATATATAGTCTATAGTCTAGTCTGTAGACTAGACTACTATAGACTATAGACTTTATACTAAAGACTATAGACTAGACTATAGACTATAGACTAGACTATAGACTAGACTATAGACTAGACTATAGACTAGACTATAGACTATCGACTACAGACTATAGACTATAGACTATATACTATAGACTATAGACTATGGACTATAGACTATAGACTATAGACTAGACTATAAATTAGACTATAGACTAGACTATAGGACTAGACTATAGACTAGACTATAGACTAGACTATAGACTAGAACTATAGACTAGACTATAGACTAGACTATAGACTAGACTATAGACTAGACTATAGACTAGACTATAGACTAGACTATAGACTAGACTATAGACTAGACTATAGACTAGGCTATATACTAGGCTATATACTAGACTAGACTATAGACTAGACTATAGACTAGACTATAGACTAGACTATAGACTAAACTATAGACTAGACTATAGACTAGACTATAGACTAGGCTATAAACTAGACTATAGACTAGACTATAGACTAGACTATAGACTAGACTATAGACTAGACTACTAGACTAGACTACTAGACTAGACTATAGACTAGACTATAGACTAGACTATAGACTAGACTATAGACTAGACTATAGACTAGACTGTAGACTAGACTATAGACAGAACTAGAGACTAGTCTATAGACCTAGACTATACTGACTATAGACTAGACTATATACTAGACTATAGACTAGACTATAGACTAGACTATAGACTAGACTATAGACTAGACTATAGACTAGACTATAGACTAGACTATAGACTAGACTATAGACTAGACTATAGACTAGACTATAGACTAGACTAGACTATAGACTATAGACTAGACTATAGACTAGACTATAGACTAGACTATAGACTAGACTAGACTATAGACTATAGACTAGACTATAGACTAGACTATAGACTAGACTATAGACTAGACTAGACTATAGACTAGACTATAGACTAGACTATAGACTAGACTATAGACTATAGACTAGACTAGACTATAGACTAGACTATAGACTAGACTATAGACTAGACTATATACTAGACTATATACTAGACTATAGACTAGACTATAGACTAGACTATAGACTAGACTATAGAAAACACTATAGACTAGACTAGAGACCAGACTATGGACTATACTATAGACTAGACTATAGACTAGACTATAGACTAGACTATAGACTAGACTATAGACTAGACTATAGACTAGACTATAGACTAGACTATAGACTTGACTATAGACTAGACTAGATTATAGACTAGACTATAGGCTAGACTATAGACAACACTATATACTAGACTAGAGACTAGACTATGGACTAGACTATAGACTAGACTATAGACTAGACTATAGACTAGACTATAGACTAGACTATAGACTAGACTATAGACTAGACTATAGACTAGACTATAGACTAGACTATAGACTAGACTATAGACTAGACTATAGACTAGACTATAGACTAGACTATAGACTAGACTATAGACTAGACTATACACTAGACTATATACTAGACTATAGACTAGACTATAGACTAGACTATAGAATTGACTATAGACTAGACTATAGACTAGACTAGATTATAGACTAGACTATAGGCTAGACTAGAGACAACACTATAGACTAGCCTATAGACTAGACTATAGACTAGACTATAGACTAGACTATAGACTAGACTATAGACTAGACTATAGACTAGACTATAGACTAGACTATAGACTAGACTATAGACTAGACTATACACTAGACTATATACTAGACTATAGACTAGACTATAGACTAGACTATAGACTAGACTATAGAATTGACTATAGACTAGACTATAGACTAGACTATATTATAGACTAGACTATAGGCTAGACTATAGACAACACAATAGACTAGCCTATAGACTAGACTATAGACTAGACTATAGACTAGACTATAGACTAGACTATAGACTAGACTATAGACTAGACTATAGACTAGACTATAGACTAGACTATAGACTAGACTATAGACTAGACTAGACAATAGACTAGACTATAGACTAGACTATAGACTAGACTATAGACTAGACTATAGACTAGACTATAGACTAGACTATAGACTAGACTATAGACTAGACTATAGACTAGACTAGACTATAGACTAGACTAGACTATAGACTAGACTATAGACTAGACTATAGACTAGACTATAGACTAGACTATAGGCTAGACTATAGACTAGACTATAGGATAGACTATAGACTAGAATATAGACTTAATAATAGATTAAACTTTTATCTCATTTTCGTTGATTCTATCTATTTCTACTCAAATTTTATGACACTTCACATTTGCCCCTAAAAATATACTTTGATTTTTAACATCTCTGTCTAAGAAATAATTTGTCTAAATGAATAATTAAAAGACACTCAAACTGAGACAATAGGCAAAAACAACAAATGTTTTATATTCACATTATTAATTGCATTGTGGAATGGGTGGGTACGAAGGTTTCATTTCAATTAATTTCTTACATGTCTATTTATTTTATACATGCAGTATAATACATACCATAAATGAGCTCACGTTCAAAATTGGCTGTTGGCACTACAATTAAAAACACCACACCCGGCATTGTATACTCTTGCTTTCTCTTTTGCTATCACTTTGCAAACACTTACGATCAAATGCTGTATAAAACTCACACTTCGAACGCCTTAAGGTATGCTGTGACAAATTAAAAAGCTGCAAAAAAAGAATAAGTACATGTAGTAGGGAAAAATCTTAAAACATTTTTGTTTTTTTTTTTTTTTTTGCTCATTTATATTAAATAATTTTTACATGAATACATGTGTAGGTATAACATGCCTATACATATGTATGTAAATATGTTTTTATGTTTTATTTATATATGTTTTGCATACATTTTGTTTGCCAGTTATTGAATTTAATTTATTTTGTTTATTAAAAACCAAATGCCATAAAAACCAGAGGTATTAAAAATATATTTGTATGTGTATTAATAGAAAATTAAATGAGATTATATTTGCTGTAGATTTATTTAATAATGGATTTGTTTTTGCGAGATTATAAAAACGTAAACCGATGTCATAAAATTATTTATGTTTACTTGCTATTGTTGTTGTTTTGTTAATTTTTTGTCGCTAAACATTTAAATTTTTATATATTTAATACCAATGTTTATTATTTGTGTTTTTATTTATTTTATTTGCTCATTTTTATAGGTGTTATTAAATAAAATTTTGGTATTATAACATACAGTTTAGGCGCCATTTAGTGAGAAGTTTATGGCCTATAAGACAGCATAATATACAAAGTTATGTTTCGTCATTTTTGGAAAAGGGATATGATGTGTAAAGTGTTTAATACGGAAAAATTGTTTTAATTATACAAAAGCAGGAAAAGGGGTTTGAAAGGGAAAAATCTTTGAAGGTAGAAGATTGTTTAAAGGAAATGCAAATTGTCTCTGATAGGTCGTGGTGTGACTGACTGAATAACTACTACTAACTAACTAACTAACTAACTACTACTAACTACTACTAACTAACTAACTAACTAACTACTACTAACTACTAACACTAACTACTAACTAACTAACTAACTAACTACTAACTAACTAACTAACTAACTAACTAACTAACTAACTAACTAACTACACTAACTAACTAACTACTAACTAACTAACTAACTACTACTACTAACGAACTAACTAACTAACTAACTAACTAACTAACTAACTACTAACTAACTAACTAACTAACTCACTAACTAACTAACTACGACTACTAACTACTACTAACTAACTACTAACTAACTACTACTAACTAACTACTAACTACTAACTAACTAACTACTAACTAACTAACTAACTAACTAACTAACTACCACTAACAACTAACTAACTAACTAACTACTAACTAACTAACTAACTAACTAATACTAACACTAACTAACTAACTAACTAACTAACTACTAACTAACTAACTAACTAACTAACTAACTAACTAACTAACTAACTACTAACTAACTAACTAACTAACTAACTAACTAACTAACTAACTACTAACTAACTAACTAACTAACTAACTAACTACTAACTAACTAACTACTAACTACTAACTAACTAACTAACTAACTAACTACCTAACTAACTAACTAACTAACTACTAACTAACTAACTAACTAACTAACTAACTAACTAACTAACTAACTAACTAACTAACTACTAACTAACTAACTAACTAACTAACTAACTAACTAACTAACTAACTAACTAACTAACTAACTAACTAACTAACTAACTAACTACTAACTAACTAACTACTAACTAACTACTAACTAACTAACTAACTAACTAACTAACTAACTAACTAACTAACTAACTAACTAACTAACTACTAACTAACTAACTAACTAACTAACTAACTAACTAACTAACTAACTAACTAACTAACTAACTAACTAACTAACTAACTAACTAACTAACTAACTAACTAACTACTAACTAACTAACTAACTAACTAACTACTAACTAACTACTAACTAACTAACTAACTAACTAACTAACTAACTAACTAACTAACTAACTAACTAACTACTAACTAACTAACTAACTAACTAACTAACTAACTAACTAACTAACTAACTAACTAACTAACTAACTAACTAACTAACTAACTAACTAACTAACTACTACTAACTAACTAACTAACTAACTAACTAACTAACTAACTAACTAACTAACTGTTCTAGTTCTGTTCTAGTTCAGTTCTAGTTCTGTTCTAGTTCTGTTCTAGTTCTGTTCTAGTTCTGTTCTAGTTCTGTTCTAGATCTGTTCTAGTTCTGTTCTAGTTCTGTTCTAGTTCTGTTCTAGTTCTGTTCTAGTTCTGTTCTAGTTCTGTTCTAGTTCTGTTCTAGTTCTGTTCTAGTTCTGTTCTAGTTCTGTTCTCATTCTGTTCTAGTTCTGATCTAGTTCTGTTCTAGTTCTGTTCTAGTTCTGTTCTAGTTCTGTTCTAGTTCTGTTCTAGTTCTGTTCTAGTTCTGTTCTAGTTCTGTTCTAGTTCTGTTCTAGTTCTGTTCTAGTTCTGTTCTAGTTCTGTTCTAGTTCTGTTCTAGTTCTGTTCTGTTCTAGTTCTAGTTCTGTTCTAGTTCTGGTCTAGTTCTGTTCTAGTTCTGTTCTAGTTCTGCTAGTTCTGTTCTAGTTCTGTTCTAGTTCTGTTCTAGTTCTGTTCTAGTTCTGTCTAGTTCTGTTCTAGTACTGTTCTAGGGATAAAACTAGTAATAAATAATTAAAATGTATTTATAATTAATTTTACACTATTTTCTACAATTATCATTTCTTTTTGATACTGTTTTTCTTTTGCCTTAGAATATGCTGTAATTTATTCCCTTTCTGTAGTTTAAAAAACATATTTACCATCTTACTTTAAAACGTTTGTAATTCTTTTGAAACTATTTTTGTAACTGAAAACGTTTTGTAACCTCCAACTTTAAAAGAATATAAATATAATATTTTAAAAGTTGTACTCACACTTTAGAAATGTTATGCAGAAAAGAAAGAAAACCTACAAAAAAAGGAAAACAACCAGAAAATTGTTAATGTTTAACAATTTTTTTTCTTCTTTACTAGCAACCACAACTTATTTCTTGCAATTATTATTATTTTTTTTCCATATTTTGTACTTATTTATTATTATAATTATGCTTTTAGCTAAAAGAATGTTTCTGTTAGTTTTTTAAACAAAATTTTACATCCTTTTTTACAACAGCTGTAAAGCTCAAAAATGTTTGCATGAATATGAATGTTTTTAAATGGAAAAAGGTGTTTGTTTTTATAAAAACTATAACCTTAAGCAAATTATAGTTTTCTTGAAAAGCAACTAAAAATCACAAAGTTAGAAAGTAAGTTGATGTTTTTTAAAAAACAAAAAGTGTTATAATTATTTCAACTTATTAAAATTTAGCAGAAATTTAAAATTCTTTAAATTATTAAATTTTTTTAAATTCCTGTTATAAGCTCATAACCCAGTTTTTAAATTTTATTAAAAAAAAAACAACTTATTTCAACTTAACTCAAAAAATATTAACCTAAATCTTTATAAACAGTTATAGTTTTTTTTTTTCTTAGCTGCTCAGTTCATCCAAAAACTTTCTGCCAAAAACTTTAAACATTGAAACAAAAGACTAAAAAAATTTTGCATTTTTTTTTCTTAAGAAATTGTTTAGATTTTTCCAGTATATGCATTTCTTTTTTTTTCATTTTTTTATCCTCAACTCAAATATTCATAAACATAAACATTTCACAACCAAAATACTTAACACTCTACTTCTAAACTCTAGTTGGTAACAAAAACTTTTGCTAAAAAGCCTTAAAATGCAAAAATAGTTTTATATTTAGAAAACAAGACAACAACAGCAACAAAAGAAGACATAAAAATAATGTTGCATTTAGTTAGTTCAGTTCTTTATAAACTATTTAGTCGGTCAAAATCTTTCCTTTTTTTCTTTTGGTTAATAGGGGTTTCAAACACTTTGGAGAATGACAAAAAATATACATACATACACTGAGAAAATAAAGTTTAAATTTTCCTAAATAGAAAAGAAAAATTTAATTTTCTGATCTATTCTAGTTCTATTCTAGTTTCGAGTTATGTTCTAGTTCTGTTCTAGTTCTGTTCTAGTTCTGTTCTAGTTCTGTTCTAGTTCTGTTCTAGTTCTGTTCTAGTTCTGTTCTAGTTCTGTTCTAGTTCTGTTCTAGTTCTGTTCTAGTTCTGTTCTAGTTCTGTTCTGTTCTAGTTCTGTTCTAGTTCTGTTCTAGTTCTGTTCTAGTTCTGTTCTAGTTCTGTTCTAGTTCTGTTAGTTCTGTTCTAGTTCTGTTCTAGTTCTGTTCTAGTTCTGTTCTAGTTCTGTTTCTAGTTCTGTTCTAGTTCTGTTCTAGTTCTGTTCTAGTTCTGTTCTAGTTCTGTTCCAGTTCTGTTCTAGTTCTGTTCTAGTTCTGTTCTAGTTCTGTTCTAGTTATGTTCTAGTTCTGTTCTAGTTCTGTTCTAGTTCTGTTCTAGTTCTGTTCTAGTTCTGTTCTAGTTCTCTTCTAGTTCTGTTCTAGTTCTGTTCTAGTTCTCTTCTAGTTCTTTTCTAGTTCTGTTCTAGTTCTGTTCTAGTTCTGTTCTAGTTCTGTTCTAGTTCTGTTCTAGTTCTGTTCTAGTTCTGTTCTAGTTCTGTTCTAGTTCTGTTCTAGTTCTGTTCTAGTTCTGTTCTAGTTCTGTTCTAGTTCTGTTCTAGTTCTGTTCTAGTTCTGTTCTAGTTCTGTTCTAGTTCTGTTCTAGTTCTGTTCTAGTTCTGTTCTAGTTCTGTTCTAGTTCTGTTCTAGTTCTGTTCTAGTTCTGTTCTAGTTCTGTTCTAGTTCTGTTCTAGTTCTGTTCTAGTTCTGTTCTAGTTCTGTTCTAGTTCTGTTCTAGTTCTGTTCTAGTTCTGTTCTAGTTCTGTTCTAGTTCTGTTCTAGTTCTGTTCTAGTTCTGTTCTAGTTCTGTTCTAGTTCTGTTCTAGTTCTGTTCTAGTTCTGTTCTAGTTCTGTTCTAGTTCTGTTCTAGTTCTGTTCTAGTTCTGTTCTAGTTCTGTTCTAGTTCTGTTCTAGTTCTGTTCTAGTTCTGTTCTAGTTCTGTTCTAGTTCTGTTCTAGTTCTGTTCTAGTTCTGTTCTAGTTCTGTTCTAGTTCTGTTCTAGTTCTGTTCTAGTTCTGTTCTAGTTCTGTTCTAGTTCTGTTCTAGTTCTGTTCTAGTTCTGTTCTAGTTCTGTTCTAGTTCTGTTCTAGTTCTGTTCTAGTTCTGTTCTAGTTCTGTTCTAGTTCTGTTCTAGTTCTGTTCTAGTTCTGTTCTAGTTCTGTTCTAGTTCTGTTCTAGTTCTGTTCTAGTTCTGTTCTAGTTCTGTTCTAGTTCTGTTCTAGTTCTGTTCTAGTTCTGTTCTAGTACTGTTCTAGTTCTGTTCTAGTTCTGTTCTAGTTCTGTTCTAGTTCTGTTCTAGTTCTGTTCTAGTTCTGTTCTAGTTCTGTTCTAGTTCTGTTCTAGTTCTGTTCTAGTTCTGTTCTAGTTCTGTTCTAGTTCTGTTCTAGTTCTGTTCTAGTTCTGTTCTAGTTCTGTTCTAGTTCTGTTCTAGTTCTGTTCTAGTTCTGTTCTAGTTCTGTTCTAGTTCTGTTCTAGTTCTGTTCTAGTTCTGTTCTAGTTCTGTTCTAGTTCTGTTCTAGTTCTGTTCTAGTTCTGTTCTAGTTCTGTTCTAGTTCTGTTCTAGTTCTGTTCCAGTTCTGTTCTAGTTCTGTTCTAGTTCTGTTCTAGTTCTGTTCTAGTTTGTTCTAGTTCTGTTCTGGTTCTGTTCTAGTTCTGTTCTAGTTCTGTTCTAGTTCTGTTCTAGTTTGTTCTAGTTCTGTTCTAGTTCTGTTCTAGTTCTTTCTAGTTCTGTTCTAGTTCTGTTCTAGTTCTGTTCTAGTTCTGTTCTAGTTCTGTTCTAGTTCTGTTCTAGTTCTGTTCTAGTTCTGTTCTAGTTCTGTTCTAGTTCTGTTCTAGTTCTGTTTCTAGTTCTGTTCTAGTTCTGTTCTAGTTCTGTTCTAGTTCTGTTCTAGTTCTGTTCTAGTTCTGTTCTAGTTCTGTTCTAGTTCTGTGTCTAGTTCTGTTCTAGTTCTGTTCTAGTTCTGTTCTAGTTCTGTTCTAGTTCTGTTCTAGTTCTGTTCTAGTTCTGTTCTAGTTCTGTTCTAGTTCTGTTCTAGTTCTGTTCTATTCTGTTCTAGTTCTGTTCTAGTTCTGTTCTAGTTCTGTTCTAGTTCTGTTCTAGTTCTGTTCTAGTTCTGTTCTAGTTCTGTTCTAGTTCTGTTCTAGTTCTTTCTAGTTCTGTTCTAGTTCTGTTCTAGTTCTGTTCTAGTTCTGTTCTAGTTCTGTTCTAGTTCTGTTCTAGTTCTGTTCTAGTTCTGTTCTAGTTCTCTAGTTCTGTTCTAGTTCTGTTCTAGTTCTGTTCTAGTTCTGTTCTAGTTCTGTTCTAGTTCTGTTCTAGTTCTGTTCTAGTTCTGTTCTGTTTTTCTAGTTCTGTTTTAGTTCTGTTCTAGTTCTGTTCTAGTTCTGTTCTAGTTCTGTTCTAGTTCTGTTCTAGTTCTGTTCTAGTTCTGTTTCTAGTTCTGTTCTAGTTCTGTTCTAGTTTCTGTTCTAGCTCTGTTCTAGTTCTGTTCTAGTTCTGTTCTAGTTCTGTTCTAGTTCTCTTCTAGTTCTCTTCTAGTTCTGTTCTAGTTCTGTTCTAGTTCTGTTCTAGTTCTGTTCTAGTTCTGTTCTAGTTCTGTTCTAGTTCTGTTCTAGTTCTCTTCTAGTTCTGTTCTAGTTCTGTTCTAGTTCTGTTCTAGTTCTGTTCTAGTTCTGTTCTAGTTCTGTTCTAGTTCTGTTCTAGTTCTGTTCTAGTTCTGTTCTAGTTCTGTTCTAGTTCTGTTCTAGTTCTTTCTAGTTCTGTTCTAGTTCTGTTCTAGTTCTGCTCTAGTTCTGTTCTAGTTCTGTTCTAGTTCTGTTCTAGTTCTGTTCTAGTTCTGTTCTAGTTTGTTCTAGTTCTGTTCTAGTTCTGTTCTAGTTCTGTTCTAGTTCTGTTCTAGTTCTGTTCTAGTTCTGTTCTAGTTCTGTTCTAGTTCTGTTCTAGTTCTGTTTAGTTCTGTTCTAGTTCTGTTCTAGTTCTGTTCTAGTTCTGTTCTAGTTCTGTTCTAGTTCTGTTCTAGTTCTGTTCTAGTTCTGTTCTAGTTCTGTTCTAGTTCTGTTCTAGTTCTGTTCTAGTTCTGTTCTAGTTCTGTTCTAGTTCTGTTCTAGTTCTGTTCTAGTTCTGTTCTAGTTCTGTTTTAGTTCTGTTCTAGTTCTGTTCTAGTTCTGTTCTAGTTCTGTTCTAGTTCTGTTCTAGTTCTGTTCTAGTTCTGTTCTAGTTCTGTTCTAGTTCTGTTCTAGTTCTGTTCTAGTTCTGTTCTAGTTCTGTTCTAGTTCTGTTCTAGTTCTGTTCTAGTTCTGTTCTAGTTCTGTTCTAGTTCTGTTCTAGTTCTGTTCTAGTTCTGTTCTAGTTCTGTTCTAGTTCTGTTCTAGTTCTGTTCTAGTTCTGTTCTAGTTCTGTTCTAGTTCTGTTCTAGTTCTGTTCTAGTTCTGTTCTAGTTCTGTTCTAGTTCTGTTCTAGTTCTGTTCTAGTTCTGTTCTAGTTCTGTTCTAGTTCTGTTCTAGTTCTGTTCTAGTTCTGTTCTAGTTCTGTTCTAGTTTCTGTTCTAGTTCTGTTCTAGTTCTGTTCTAGTTCTGTTCTAGTTCTATTCTAGTTCTATTCTAGTTCTATTCTAGTTTTGTTCTAGTTTGTTTGTTTTCTCCGTATTTGCTGGTATGTCTTCCATTATTTGTCTATTTTTATTGGCTGCCAAAGTTTAGAAATATAATTTGTCAAGCTGCCTGTACATATTCTGTCTAAGTCTTGCTGTCATTGCTACATTTTACAAATTTGGCACATAAATTATAAATCTGTCTATATTTGACTATTTTCCTACATATGCTTTTTTCTTGGTGCTTAAAGAAACACTTAAAGATCTTACGATTTAATAAACAAATTAAAAATATAAAAAAATATAATTCTGGCACGAATAGTTCCAACGAATATAAACCATTTATATCCTTAGCAGGCGATTCAAAATCCTAAATGACTTTTGCTTTAGAGTAAGGGCTTATCTACTCAGGAAATCGACCTTGGGCTTTTTGTTTTTAAATTTAAAGACATTTTTCTTTATTCTGCTGTAAAAACCACATTAGTTGGATAATTTGGTTGAAAAGACCATAGTTACAAACTTTTTTTTCTTTAGCATAAAGTTGGCTAGTTTCAGTTTCATTTTCATTTTAATATTCTTATTTCATATATTATATTTGTTGTTGTTGTTGTTTTTTTATATACAATAAGAACTTTGTTTTATTATTTTAGTTGTTATAATTTCTTTGTTTTCTTTTGGGGAAATGATGTTTAATGTTACTGCAAATGATACAGAATTTATCATATTTTTAGGTTTTGTTGTTACTTTTGCCTGGACTTGGTATGATAATAATACTGCTAATGTGGTTGACACATGTGGTTGCAAATGTTGAGAAAAATAGTTTTGCTACAATTTATGTGTGGGTTTCCTTTTTTTTTGTTTCCTTTCCAGCTTAGAGGTATTAAGTGGGAATGTGTGATGAAACCAACTTTAATTTATGTTGAATTATACAAATTTAAGAAAACTTTTGGTTAATTTAGAAAATTTTTTTCCACACAATTAGTTTATATTTTTAGTTAACACTTTGTTTGCTTTAAATAAATAATTTTTACCGGTTTTGTGTTATTTAAATTTTTCTGTAAAATTATTTCTTTTTATCACTGTTTCACTATGCCACTTTAAATCCTACTAAACTGCTCTATATTTTAATAAAATCTCAGCTTCTTTTAAAATTCTAATGAAATGCATTAAATAATATTGACATGTTAATTAAAAATCTGTTAATTGTATTGTGAAAATAAACTAAAAGAAAACTAAACCACTTATTCATTTAAAGAAAACTACTGACAGTTATACACATGTCAATAGAAATGTATTTTTACCCAGACTTAAAAAGAAACTATAAAGAATTGTTGCATCATCTCTAGCTACTACATTTACACCTGTCTACCTATGTTACCAGGCTTGTGTTTGTCTATTACTTATACATTTTGGTTTTCTTTCTTTTCTGCTAATGAACTTTTGCCTAATTAAAATGTGCTAAACAATAGACAGATGAAACGAGAGTTCAACTTAGGCAAAGAAATAAATTATTTTACATTGTAAGATGTTAGATAAAAAAATAAAGACAAACTGGAGTAAACTTAAAGTGTGTTTATTTGTGAATGACGTCAATTGTTATTTAGAATGATACTAGAAATTTTATTTTAATAATATGGTTTTTAATTAGGTCTTTTTTAGCAAAACAAAAATGTGTCTTCTGTTGTCATGTATAGAGCTCTGTTTCCGTTTTCTTGTGTTTTTTCCTGCTCTTCAAGAAAATGCTTAGACTTTTGACTTTGTTTTAGATTTCTTTAGAATATATTTCAAAAAATTCTCTTAGCAAAATATTTGTTAAGAATTAAGCTTTAGTGCACAAACAAAAAATAATTCTAAAAAAAAAACCATAATTTAAGCCACAAACGTTAAAAAACATGCCAAGAATTAAAAAAAAAAATATATAAATTTTAAGGCCACTACTAAACTGCTCACAACCGAGCTGGGAATAAACAAAAACAAAACTAGAACATAACTAGAATAAACTAGAATAGAACTAGAAACAGAACTAGAACAGAACTAGAACAGAACTAGAACAGAACTAGAACAGAACTAGAACAGAACTAGAACAGAACTAGAACAGAACTAGAACAGAACTAGAACAAACTAGAACAGAACTAGAACAGAACTAGAACAGAACTAGAACAGAACTAGAACATAACTAGAACAGAACTAGAACATAACTAGAACAGAACTAAACAGAACAGAACTAGAACAGAACTAGAACACACTAGAACAGAACTAGAACAGAACTAGAAGAACTAGAACAGACTAGAACAGAACTAGAACAGAACTAGAACAGAACTAGAACAGAACTAGAACAGAACTAGAACAGAACTAGAACAGAACTAGAACAGAACTAGAACAGAACTAGAACAGAACTAGAACAGAACTAGAACAAACTAGAACAGAACTAGATACTAGAACAGAACTAGAACAGAACTAGAACAGAACTAGAACAGAACTAGAACAGAACTAGAACAGAACTAGAACAGAACTAGAACAGAACTAGAACAGAACTAGAACAGAACTAGAACAGAACTAGAACTGAACTAGAACAAACTAGAACAGAACTAGAACAGAACTAGAACAGAACTAGAACAGAACTAGAACAGAACTAGAACAGAACTAGAACAGAATAGAACAGAACTAGAATAGAACTAGAACAGAACTAGAACAGAACTAGAACAGAACTAGAACAAACTAGAACAGAACTAGAACAGAACTAGAACAGAACTAGAACAGAACTAGAACAGAACTAGAACAGAACTAGAACAGAACTAGAACAGAACTAGAACAGAACTAGAACAGAACTAGAACAGAACTAGAACAGAACTAGAACAGAACTAGAACAGAACTAGAACAGAACTAGAACAGAACTAGAACAGAACTAGAACAGAACTAGAACAAACTAGAAAGAACTAAACAAACTAGAACAGAACTAGAACAGAACTAGAACAGAACTAGAACAGAACTAGAACAGAACTAGAACTAGAACAGAACTAGAACAGAACTAGAACAGAACTAGAACAGAACTAGAACAGAACTAGAACAGAACTAGAACAGAACTAGAAACAGAACTAGAACAAACTAGAACAGAACTAGAACAGAACTAGAACAGAACAGAACTAGAACAGAACTAGAACTAGAACTAGAACAGAACTAGAACAGAACTAGAACAGAACTAGAACAGAACTAGAACAGAACTAGAACAGAACTAGAACAGAACTAGAACAGAACTAGAACAGAACTAGAACAGAACTAGAACAGAACTAGAACAGAACTAGAACAGAACTAGAACAGAACTAGAACAACTAGAACAGAACTAGAACAGAACTAGAACAGAACTAGAACAGAACTAGAACAGAACTAGAACAGAACTAGAACAGAACTAGAACAGAACTAGAACAGACTAACAGAACTAGAACAGAACTAGAACAGAACTAGAACAGAACTAGAACAGAACTAGAACAGAACTAGAACAGAACTAGAACAGAACTAGAACAGAACTAGAACAGAACTAGAACAGAACTAGAACAGAACTAGAACAGAACTAGAACAGAACTAGAACAGAACTAGAACAGAACTAGAACAGAACTAGAACAGAACTAGAACAGAACTAGAACAGAACTAGAACAGAACTAGAACAGAACTAGAACAGAACTAGAACAGAACTAGAACAGAACTAGAACAGAACTAGAACAGAACTAGAACAGAACTAGAACAGAACTAGAACAGAACTAGAACAGAACTAGAACAGAACTAGAACAGAACTAGAACAGAACTAGAACAGAACTAGAACAGAACTAGAACAGAACTAGACAGAACTAGAACAGAACTAGAACAAACTAGACAGAACTAGAACAGAACTAGAACGAACTAGAACAGAACTAGAACAGAACTAGAACAGAACTAGAACAGAACTAGAACAGAACTAGAACAGAACTAGAACAGAACTAGAACGAACTAGAACAGAACTAGAACAGAACTAGAACAGAACTAGAACAGAACTAGAACAGAACTAGAACAGAACTAGAACAGAACTAGAACAGAACTAGAACAGAACTAGAACAGAACTAGAACAGAACTAGAACAGAACTAGAACAGAACTAGAACAGAACTAAACAGAACTAGAACAGAACTAGAACAAACTAGAACAGAACCAGAACATAACCAGAACAGAACCAAACAGAACTACAACAGAACTAGTTCTGGAAATGTTAAGAAATTTTGAAAAAGTAAATGTTTTTAGAAAAAAACTCGAAAAAGTCGACGAAATTTGCACCAAGATTAGTAATATTGGATAGTAGGTAGCTATCTGACTCCTTTGGACAATTTTTGCTATGACCAGTACGTGAAAAGTTACACTCATTTGAATAAAACCCTTTGTGACCTAAATGTCCAACTATGACCCCTCTAAGTCTAGCCGTTCTTGACCGATAGAGCTGAAATTTTGTGTCTGACCTACTACTTATCCAATACTATTAACCTTGGTGTAAATTTCATGCAAATCGAATGACATCGATTTTAAAAGTTGGGTCCTTGACACGAAATTCCCCATATATATTTGGTTTTAAGATAATAGTGTTCTCAATTTAATGAGTAGTATATTTCAAACAAAGTCTTTCTGTGCTAATTGCTGTACAATTTAGTTTCAAATTCTATTTAAATTTTTTAGCTGTTGTAGTTAAAACAAAAGTTATGGTTATTTTTACAAAATATTCTAATAATTAATATTAATCATACGCTCTAGTGCTTAAAAAT